TGTGAAAACTTCGGCCAATAATTTGGAATCTTTAACTGATTTAAAGCGGTTGTAATTTTGCAGTGTATTTATTCTTCCTGATATGTTTTGAGCAATTTCAGATGAGTTCATCGTTTTGTATTTGTTTGAATGTAAAGGTTATTCGGTTCTCTTCAGTGGGTTTTGTACTACAAAAAATGAGAATTTTAAATTGGCGCTGCACTTCGCCAAGTTGGCACAATGCCAGGAGCGATTTATTGAACTCTCTTGAAGTTGATACTTTGTTGCTTTCTGAACGGTTCCGTCGGTTTCGCAAGAGTTTTATTTCAGGTTTCTATTTGGGGAATTTTTTCTTGGAGTTTTTTTTTTTTAAATATCCTGAAGTGAAGAAACTTCGTGATTATTAGTAACTAGTTAATTAATATATTATGGAAACCGCTTCAACGAATTTAAACAAGAAAAATAAATATAAACTCACAGATTTATAAAGTAATTTATTCAATTCAGTTCTAAAGTAAGTCATGTAATTTGATGCTTATTATTATTGTTTCTGTGCAAGAAATGCTAGTTTAAAAATATCGACGTAAATAATAAAGACCACCACTAAATGATGACTTGACCCAATCAGCAAAAGCTTTATTTTAAAGTGATGGATAAAATATGAATTTAATTTTCAGCCAATACTTTTTTAGATGCAGTAGAGTCGATGTTATCTTCCTCTGGAACTGTGTCTGAAATTTTCCTTTTACGTGTTGCTTCTTTTTTCTTATTTTCCACAATTCGAGAGAGAGTTCCATAAAGTTGTGCGGCTACAAATTCAGATGCCTTAAAAAGACATTAAGTTAGGAAGATGATGAAAATCATTTCGTAACCAAGTAGGCAAAGGAAATCAAAAATATATAACAAATCTATCAGTAAAGTGCACTATCTCTGCTAATCTGTTAAATATAAGTTTTCTCTGCTAAATATAAATGATTTCAGAATTTCTGAAAAACACAGCAGCGTCTACGGCACAACTTTTAAAATTAAAATTGAACTATACAAAAATGAGACTTTGACTGAACCTGATTCTTAAATTCATAGCTAAAAAACCTCTTTTATTTTCGAAGACTAATAATGGTCCATTAGTTTTAACAAATTAGAGCACAGAAAGCAGAGGAAACGGTTACAGAAAATTCATACTGTAGCAAGAAAAAGTGTAGGAACTTCTGAATCTGGCGCTGTGGCTGAGAACTTCACCCGTTTCATTGACAATTTTTCAACGATCATATCAGGAAATATCTGTGAATTAAGCACTACTCTTTGATTGCCCATTACTCGACCAACTAAAATTATCTTGACTTGATTAAATCAAATGAAATTCATCATTATTATTAACAAAAAACTCGAGTAAAACTAAATAAACTAAACAAATATTCATTCTACAATATTAGGGTAAAAAGTTTCGTTAAATGCGATGAAAATCCGAGAGGCCTATTTCTGTATCCCAGCTCACAGCTTCCACGCAATATGTCTTCCCTTACACCGAAGTTAATTCTATCATTCCCATGATCATTACAAACACATGCATTTTGAAATGTGTTCAACTTCTGAAAAAAGGTATCGAAGGTAATTTGATAGAGGAAACTGTAACTTTAGTGCATGAATTGTAAGCGTAAACCTCTATAAAAAATGAAGGGGAAAGCAAATAATGAAAGTCATTACCGATTCGATAAGTGTAAGGTGGTTCTTCACCTCGTTCATTAATGCGTAAACAAGACATCCCACGCTCTACCCATGATTTTGTTGAACTATCAAATGAATGTAATTTACACATCACCTAAATTAAATATGCCATATTATACCTTATTATTAAAGATACCTTCAATTTCAATTACAGTTTGCTTATTAAATACGCTTTAATTATTTCCAATATATCTCTAATAGGTTTGAGATTTTGTATTTTGTCAAAGAAAAGCTTATCACAACGAAACTAACTTCTACACCAAACTTCTCAAGAAAAACTTACGCGGTATATGTTTACTTCACCCTCTTCACCAGTAAAAACATCCAGTTTTGGTGGAACTGACTCAATTTTCTCGGAAGGCATAATTGAACTACCTTCGTTAGTAACTGAACTCGATGAAGCGGAGGTTGCCTCTAATTCCTATAACAAGACAAAATAGGGCAATTAAATTTACGTAGAACTTACAAAATTTTTTTTTTTTAAAGTATTTTTAAAAGTTGAGAAAAAAAACTTAATGATGCTAAAGTCATGTGTTATGGAAAAATGCTGCAGTTAGAAATAAAAATATTAATTCCAAAAAAATTCGTCGAAGCAAAAAGAAGCTAAGCATTGCTAGAAAAAAAGAATAATACAAATACTGATGTAATTTCTAGAAGCGCATTTCTTAAAGATTCCTTGTCAAAAATTATTAATTAAAATTTGAAGTCGATTAAAACTCACTGCAACTGAGTCTTTGACTTTATGACTGGTAATAAAGGATGATGAAGCTCCTTTCTGTTTGATTTCTTCAAATACCTCCGTGACACTTTTCGGGGCATCACCTTTGGTTTCACTTTTTGCTGCGGTATGTTCACTTGTAAAAGCAGTAGTTTGTTCTCCCATCTTATCCTGCTAAAATTCGTATTATAATCATCGGAAAACCATAAGTAATGGCTCCTTTAAAAAGCAACAGTTTCAAATTGTGTTGTCTATTAACCTCGTATAGAACATGTTATAAGTAATATATACAATTATACGTCTAACTTCACTTCGCTTTTATTTTTATTTCTAACTTTATTTTATTTCTTATATGATAAGTCATTTAATTGGAAGTTTCGTCTTAGGGCAAAGACAAGAAAAAAAAAATGACGGAAAAGAGAAGAAAACAAATACATACTCCATTGTTGATAATAACTTTTTCGGATAATTTGGAGCCAAATATAAAACTATCACCAGTATTCTTTACGGTCTCTATATTTGCATTCCTTTCCGGTTTATCCTTAGCAAGCGTTTTGCCAAGATCCAATTTTATATTTTTCTCATCCGCCTTAAAACCATTCTTACTAGCTGACCATAGCTGGTCTGCTGCAGAGGATAGTTTCGAAGATTTAAATGCGATTCGTTTCGTTGTCATTGTTGTTGATATCTTGAATGAAGAAATCCTTTTTTTAAACAGTACTTCTATAACCATGAAAACTGACAGCAACCCATTTCCACTGTTCGTGAATACTAATAAAACTTATCACATCGCTAATATACCATCTGCACGCTACTTCCGTCCTCGCATACGTACAATAATTTCCTCTAATAAAAATACAAAGTACGAATAAAAATGTTTATTATTACTATAAATAATCGATTATTCAAACTATCTGTAATACTTATGAAAGAGTAAATAATCATACATTGAAGTTATTCATCAAAAAGACACTCAACAAACTAAACTTACGAAGCAGTCTGGGAGATTCGACAACCCTGAAGCACATAAAAGAACTCAGCAATCCCTGCTATTTGCAAAGTGAATAAGAACCCGCCGCAACTCCGATTATCTCTGGCTGTAATCTCTAGCAAGTTTCAACTGAACTTACTTTATCATTTTCTCGTTCTCTAATGTCTCTCATGTTAGTCTGCTACTTTTATCAGTTTTCTAATATCTCTCCTGTCTTCCCACTGTATATTTCTTTCTCTGAACACTCTCACATTCCACTTTATCAAATATTTCGACAATTACTTTAACTGTTGATTGTTCTTCTCTCTTTTTCTCCCTCTCCCTCTCTCTTCCCTTCCTTTTCCGTAACACCTGTCTTTCCAGGTGCTAATAATTAACTCTACCTTGGTTACCATCTCATAAAATTCGAAGATTATTTTCACATTCACACCTGTTTAAATAAATAAATATCTTTTATTATTTTTCTCTCTTCGTTGTTCAAAATGATTAATTATAATTAAAGATAAAACTTTGTCCTACACATTCGTCAAATTCTTTTATTCAAAGTCCATTTTTCCTTTTTTCTATTAGAAATATTCTCTCTCGCTATCATTTAATCTGCCTTATAGAGTAGATATGATAAAAATGATATTAATCATTTTGATTCTCTTCTCTTACCTCTCATGAATGTTATTTTTAATATCAAAAATGCGCACTTTGTTTTCTTTCATTTACCGCATCTTTCATCTTCTCTTCACTACACTTTGCTTCTCTCTTTCCTCTCTACATTTTCTCTATTTTCAAATATAAAGCATACATACATACATACCTACACACATACACACATGCATGACATACATATACACATACACATATAGCCTACCTACCTACGTACATACAAATTTGCAATCTTATAATTCGTATCAGTGGGAAGTATTTCTGTTTTTTTTTTTTTCAAATTTCTATTATTTTCAGTTTATTTACCACATTACTTTTAAATGCTATAACATTCTCAAGAAATTGTTCCATTTTATTCGTCTTTACTATTTACAGATGTATGATGTGATGGCACATCGATGCTAATTAAGCAATGCTTAGTAATTTTCAAAAAACAAAAAAAAAAATTTTGTTGTAATTTATTCAGATATTTCCATCATTTTATGTCCTTTTCATCTTACATTTCATTTCATTTTGATGATTTTTTCATAACATTTTGTTATTAACTAACTATCCTTTCATGTTATCAAATGAACTCAAACTGTAACTGTCATATTCTCCACTAATTCAGATATATTACTTCTTCATTATTTTTAAATTATTCATAACAAAAGTTGTATTTTCTTGTTTACTTCTATCATTACTTGAAGTTTCATTTGTATTTTATCTTTCATTTAATTGATTGTCATCTGTTTCTTAAAAGTTTTTTTTCAAAAATTTGAAAAGAACCATAGTAGTTGTTCCTGACAGTTTGAACTTTTTTTTGTTATGAACTTATCATTGCCTTTTATCATTTCGACATTATCATTCCGATTATATTCTGCTTATAATCAGTCATTTGATTAAATATTACAGATTTCAGCAAATGTTTCATATTAGCATCAATAAACAATGAAATACATATTAATACGGGAAAACGTGAATGTATTGGATTTACCTGATGAAATCATTGAACAGATCTGTTCCTATATTTCACCTGTTCAGGTTCTTTCTTATTATTCTCAAGTAGAGACCACTTAATTAATTATGAATGTCTAATTAAGATAAAAATAAATGCATGTTATGTAAAGTACAGTGATTCTATTCCACACAAATACACTTCATTTAAAATATGATATAGTAATAATATATATATAGTTAGGGCTAATAATCATTCCTAGAACGATATCATTTCTAATTTATACAAATGACTTCCTGTTGGATCTGAATTATTGAGAAAAAGCTTGGCTATCAACATTATTAACAGTTCTTGATTGCTTCAGTTGTGTTTATCAAGATGGGATAAGATCAGCAAAGGATTCAGAGATATGCTACAGCAAATATATAAGAGCTGTCGTATACTGGATACAATTACAGGGCAGGATTTCAGATTTTTCGAACAGTTCTGTTTGCCTCAAGCTTATGAAGATAAGGTTTAGTTCTTTGAAACATCTTATCTATCTTCATAATACACATTTTTACTAAAATTATCATAATTGATTTTCAGTCGTCAATTTTTGATTAATTCTTATTATAATATAGCAAATCAACTTAAATTACATGTATGAATTTAGATCCTCATAAAAAACCTCGAAATTGTTATTCGAAATATTTTTTCACATATTACGATGCTTACCATTTCTGCGGGAACATTTTGTGCAGATAGAAATTTTTGACAAATGCAGTTATAATTGTAAATGTTATTATGCTTGTTGCCTGGGATTGATATCGTTTAATGTAATCAAAATATAACAATACATATGCTTCGAAGACTTCAAAAAGTTTAGTAAACATTTTTTGAAGTACTTGTGAGAACAAAAAAATTGATATCGGGCCTAATGAAGGACTTCCTCATACTATGTAACGAATCCATAGTAGGTTAAGATAATTAATATTAAATCCTTTTAAAAAATTGTAATAAACTTTGCTTTCAGTTTTAAGATCTGCCGTCAAATTTGAACCCATTTTACTGATGCCAAAACTTCGTTTTTTTCATATATTGTTAGGCAATAAGTGTGATGTTCTTACTAACAATCATATATTGAGTGATTTTATTGCAGCTTGGTTTGTTTCTCTTAAAGTAATCATAATTCTATTGATTCATGCCTATTGCTTTTTTAATTATCAATATTCTGTTACCATGATTAACAAAAAATACTTTTCTAAATATCCCACAATTTTGATAACTGTTTCCATATGCAGCCATTTTTGAAGTTATGTAGTTTTCCATACAAAAACTTTTTAGAATGTTTGTCAACGAGCTGAGATTTGTGGAACTGTCAGTGACACTGTCACCAAATAGTGGAAAGTTCATAACCTGCTCTAGTTTTCGGAACCTTCTTCGCTTCTTGATGGAAATAACAGGAAATACTGGTAAGTTCTCATGATTAATTGGATTAGTTGGTTGGTTGTTCTGCTTGTAATATATATATTGAGGTATAAATAAATGTGGATTTCATATCTTGTTGTAAATAGAATGGCTTAAACTAGAAAACAAAGTTTGGCCACTAATTTTTTATTTTTATAACAAAATAGAGAATTTTTGTGTGTGGAATAAATATGAAAAATTTCATGATTAAATGAATTAAATCAATGAGATTATCGAGATTGAACATATCTTTATTTTCAGGAACATGGTCTTTATGCCTCAAAGATAAAACGAAACGATCACAAGGATGGTTCAGCCCGTCAGAGCTATCATCGTATCGGGTTACTTCATTGCATACGTAAGGACAGTACTAGAGTTGGGTATATCGCTTCATACATTACGGTTGGTTGATGAACTGAAGATGTCTCCCTATATGATGGTAATGAAGAAGAGACAGCGTTTTCTATATATGTATAATGAATACAAAGTAAGAATAGCCGTATATCTGCTACAATATTATATTATTACGATACTAAGCGGACCAATTTTCTCTTGCTTTTTCTTAATTTGTGGTTTTAATTGGCTTACTTGATATGTTTTCATCGAAATGTTAGTTTAGGATTTAGTTTTAGTATTATATCAAGTTTTTCCATAATGTCTTTTTCAATCTTTTTTGTGGAAATCTTTTTTTTTTCAGCAATGAAAGAATTTGATCATATGCTATGATATCGGAATTATTGCACCATCGTTTCCGCCTATTAATAAGAAATATTATCATTTACAACAGGTTGAAATAATATCTTCACATGTCCTTTATAAGGATGAATTCTTGAAATATCTTTCGTTAGCATCAAGTAAGTTTAGTTGAATTAATAGGAGTTTTTTAGAAGCTAAAAATTAATAGCTTTCACTCATATTGCATTCATTTTGAATATTACTTATTTTTTCTCACTAATGATCGGACCATATTTTGTTGTGATTTGTGTTTTACTGACATGGAAAACGAACTGAATCAAAAGAGAGAAGCAATATACTATACTGTTTCCAAAATGCTTTCCCTTGAAAAATGCTTTTACTTGTTAAAATAGTTATAAACGTAAGAAATTGAATAAATTAATATTTCAAATTACATTAATTGCTATTAATTATCAACATAGATATCAATTCTGTTGCCATGTCATTGGACTGAACGAGTGGAGCGATGTGCATTTGGATGTTTCCTTAATGCTGACTTTGCATGTTTCATGAAATGTGGATGGGCTTCATTATCTCATTATATTCCTCATGCTTCTCTTGTTTTCTTATGAAAATTTTTCATTAGATGCTATGTTCAGGAAGCATTTATTTTTCTTTTTTATTTCTGTGCAGATATAATTCTCTTATTATATATGTTATATTAGTTTACTGTGTATTCGACTTCTTTCTTCTAATAACAGCTAACAAATCATTTAAGATTTTAAGTTGATTAAAGTATTAAATGACTTTTAGTCTTCGTTGTTAACAATATGAATTCAGTTGCTAGAATAGTTTATGGGTATTACTTTGATGTTATTCAACCAAATCTCTAACTTTTGTTTTTCATAATTGGAATTTTTAAAATTATTCAAAATTTGAGAAGCGAATTCCCTTATTTCATTTAAATTAAACTTTCACGGTATCTTTTTTTTTGGTATTTCCTAAATCTGCAATGTTATTATTTCCAGTCTTTCAAACTTTATCGATGTTGATCTCGCATTTTCCTGTCTAGATATTATTGTTAATACACTTTGTTTTGATTAATAATTATATTTGTACTTACATATTTCAAATTAAATGTTCAAAGTGCTCGATAATAAAAGAAACTTTTCGTCCACAAGCATCTATTTAAGCTACTTAAATTATTGATTTACTTCCGTTATTTTGGTCGCATCATAGATTCATTTTTGTGTGGGATAACACCATACATTATCTTTAGTACAACCTAAAATTGCTACATCTTATAACTGCATAGATTTGAAATATTCTTAAAGAACTTTATAGAAGCAGCGTTCTAGTGACATTTATGTAACTCGAATATACGTTATCCTATAAGTTACATCGGTGGCTCAGTTAGTTTGATTAGTTGTATTCCTATATGGGTTAATGATGAGACATGAAAAACGAAGCAAATAATATTGAAAGTTTTCACCTATTAAAACATTAGTTTAAATTAGTATTGTTATAGAATCCTTTTATAATGTACCTGAGATCAGAAGCAGTACATCAATTTCTCTATTATCTAGTCATTTGAATTCTCGATAATTTAAGAGAATGTTGATATAAATTATTTTACGGAGAAAATGGATAGATTTGATGTTGTTAATTTGCCTGAAAAAACGTTTTTCTCTTTTACTTGTAGTAATCAATACTTAATGCACTTATATCTTCAAATTATTTTAAAAAAAAGAAAAAAATTGGTTTTTTTTTGCTGTTTTTGCTAGGCTTTGCTATGCTTTATGGCAAATTATATTTTCATTGTTTTCTCGGAAATATTGTATTGCTATGCATATATTAGCTACTTTTCTACTATTAACTACATTAAATACCTTATTGATATACTAAGAAAGAAAATAATTTTATGTTTTCTTTGTACATTTATTGTTACTAAGGATACTTATTCTAGCAACTTGAATTCATGACAAAGCGATGGAATTAGACCTTTGTTTTTTTTTTTTTAATTTTTTATCTTTCTTTTGCTCTGTTTTATGCTTCACATTTCATCAATTTAAGCTTTTAATTTTCATTGCTGAAAAAAAAAAAATAACCAATAACGCAGTAATGTCATTGATTATATTTACGGTTTATAATTTTTTCTATACGTTATTTAAAGAATAATGAAAAATCTTTAACATTGGTGAATTTATACTTTGAACTTATGCCCTGTTGTTACTAATCATACTTAGATTTTCATCTTGTAAGATAAGAGTAATGCAACATTTGCTGTAAATATTTAAGCAGTTCATTAGTATAAGAACGTAATGTTAATTAATCACTGATAAAATATATCTAACTGCGTTGACCTCTCCACTCATCATTAAACTATTTTATCTGTCGATTATCATAATTATTAATTTCATTCTATTTTTCTTACTTCCCTACTTCTCAGGATATATTACAGATGTATATTTTTTTCGTGCTTGTTTCATGATGGTTTGAGATATTTCCATTCATAACAAATCCTTTAGAGTTGTCTATGGAAAATTCTTAAGTTTTAAATTTCACCGTAGAAAACAACAAACTAAAAACTAGTTTCTTAACCCAAACATATGCTGAAATTGAAGGAAGGAAATATTTGTGTGAAATTGTTTATTTGATGAGAGTAAACCGTAAATAAAAGTTGTTCATATGTAAGCTGTTTATTGAAAACAACTTTCAACGAGAAATCTTATAATTTATTTGCAATTATGAAATTATTTTGATATTTATATTATTATCTTAACATTAGAAATTAATAATTATTAACTAATCTAAACATAAAGACACATGGAAATCTGTTGTCCGTGTATCATTTTAACAGTAATGATGATAATTAAATTGGCCCAGTTGTTGGAGATGATAAACTTTCTCTAATAACCTAATTTGACAAAATTAAACCAAGTATGTGATAAACATAACTACAGTAGTGTTAGTTGCAAATATAAGTTGTAACTGCAATATCAGTTCATAATTTGATTAAATAAAACGAAACTTTTTTATTTCTATGATCTGCAATCAATTAATTATCGGAACTATCCAATTGATCTCTTTCACTTTCAGTCCTCTATCTTCACCTTCAAGAATTTATTAAACACTTGCTGATACCATATCAATAACTATTTTAATAGTTTCACAGACGAACAATTACACTCAAATTTTCGTGCAAAAAAAAATTTGTCTGAAATTTTTGTTAATTAAAATTTATGAATGCATAAATTAGCTATAATAAATGATGTTATAAGTAAATTTCTCTCAAACTTTTGATGTAAAAAAAAAGATTCTTTAGTAATAGCATTTCGATGAAACTTTTGCACATTTTTTTTCCCTTAATTACAGTAAAAGTTTACTAAAGGAACAAATTACATTTTCCATCCATTTTTTTCTCATCAAAGAATGAATTTTAAAATGTAATGATTGAAAATTAAAAGGGACAAAAAATGGGCGACAGATGATGGAATCACTCATTTTGATTTGTTATGATCAAAGAAAGAATTTATATATCAGTGACGGCAAATAGGCGCCATTGTCACACAAATATTTAACTCAATGCGCCAAATATTTAATTAATTTATTTCTTTTTTGTTGCATCAATGGAAATAGTATCACTTTTGTGTTTACAATTTGCAGCGTCTGAAATGTGAAATTGAGAAAAGTGAACTGCCATTAATCTTCCAAATAGTTACACAACCGTTAGCATATTCGAAACTGAACCGATGATGGTATATTTGAAATTGTTTATTTTCCAGCCAATCAATATTTTCTGTCTTTCAATATTATATCATAATCGATGATAGAAAGCAATAAATATTCTCTCTAAAATCTTTATTTTCTCACTTCATTGCATTATTTCAATTCATATATTTTTTCATTAAAATATACGTTCAATTTGTCGTTGTTATCTAAATTGAACAAATAAAAATCTAAAGATTGAAAATTTTGATGTGATTTATAAATGGGAGAATAATGGAAATGGAGGGATAGACTGAAAGATGGATACTAATAGCATGAGTGACAGGTTTGGATCACTCTCCTGGATAATCCCTTGAAATTGTTTAATAGCCTGGAGCTGTTCTGGGAGGTGGACAATGGTCACAACTGCCTTTTGGTCCATCGGGACCTGCTTCTCCTTGATCACCATTTGGACCATCATGTCCTGGAGGACCATCTTTGCCGTTCTGACCTGGTGGTCCACGTGGTCCTGGTCGTCCGGGATTGCCATCTCGCCCAGCTGGACCTTGCTCACCTGGTGGTCCTTGTGGTCCTGGTGGGCCAGGTGGTCCTGGTGGTCCAGGCACCTAAAATTTTAAGGGTTATTGGAAACAATTCAAATCCAACATCTTCATGATTTTTCAATACTGGAAAGGATAACAAAACAAACCTCAGTCTGTACACCCGGTTTTCCTGGTTCGCCAGCTGGGCCTGGATTTCCTCGAGGTCCATTCGGTCCTCTTGGCCCTTGTGGTCCCACAGGACCCGGTTCACCAGGCTGTCCGCTAGAACCTTTGTCTCCCGGCAATCCTCTCTGTCCTTTTGGTCCTGGTTTACCTCGTGGACCTGGTGGTCCTGCAGGACAATTGAAACACCAGTCTCGTTCAGTTGGCTGAAATTTCAGATTATCCGTAAAATTATAGTTTTATATGACCAATAG